AGTGGACCTACCCCTGGAATTCTGGACTCTATTCTTCTATGAAGATGTATAAAATCATGATTGGTTCTAGCAACTACCATACAATCTTAAAATAACTTTGGAAGTGTTCTTCTCAGTTGAGACATAAGATATTTTTTCTGGATACCCCTCTATGACAGAGTTCATACCAGGAATGTACTAAAAAGGAAAACCAGTGTAATGAGCGCTTGGAGGGAACCCTTAGGGCATCTCCAATGTTGACTCCCAAAATGGTCCCAGTATCCATCTGCGGACCGGTCTGGACCAGTCCGCAAACACTAATGCTGGAGCCGGCCATCCAACCCTGTTCCCTAAATGTCTGCCCCTTTTTTCCTAAAGACCGCAAACTCAAAATAATTATAGGAAATAGCACAATTCATCCATAAATAACATGCAAATAGTTCAAATGTAAGTATTACATCCGAGATAACCGGATTTTCAACAAGTTTTTTCGAATTCATTGATTCCAGGTTGAGCGATACTAGAGTCAAAACAAGCACAAATCGTCCCGCACATACAACTCGTTGAGTTTCATCTAGCAATGCATGTGCGTGAATGGTCTGCCCTAGGTCCTCTGGTACGACAACATGTAGAGCAACATTGAGTGTTTTGGGGAACGTAGCATGCAATTTCAAAAAAAATTCTATGATCATGCAAGATCTATCTAGGAGATGCATAGCAACGAGAGGGGGAGAGTGTGTCCACATACCCTCATAGACCGAAAGCGGAAGTGTTAGGCTAACGCGGTTGATGTAGTCGAATGTCTTCACGATCCAACCGATCTAAGTACCGAACGTATGACACCTCCGTGTTCATCACACCTTCAGCTCGATGACGTCCCTCGAACTCTTGATCCAGTAGAGGGTTGAGGGAGAGTTCCATCAGCACGGCGGTGTGGTGACGGTGATGGTGATGTGATCCACGTAGGGCTTCGCCTAAACACTACGACGCTATGACCGGAGGATTAAACTGTGGAGGGGGCACCGCACATGGCTAAGAGAACAATTGATGTGCCTTTGGGGTGCCCCCGCCCCCATATATAAAGGAGGGGAGGAGGAGGTGGCCGGCCCTAGGGGTGGCACGCCATGGGGGGGGAGTCCTACTAGGACTGCACTCCTAGTAGGATTCAGCCCCCCTTCCTTCCAACGGAGAGGGGGAAGGGGAAAGAGGGGAGAGGGAGAAGGAAAGGGGGTCCGCACCCCCACCCCTTGTCCAATTCAGATTGGGCAGGGGGAGGCGTGCGCCTCCTCTTGTGGCCTTCCTCCCTCTCTCCACTATGGCCCATGAGGCCCATTAACTTTCCCAAGGGGGATCCGGTAACCTCCCGGTACTCCGAAAAATCCCCGAACCTCTTCAGAACCATTCCGATGTTCGTATATAACCTTCCAATATGTGAATATTTACCTCTCGACTATTTAGAGACTCCTCGTCATGTCCCTGGTCTCATCTGGGACTCCGAACAAACTTCGGTCACCAAAACACATAACTCATAATACAAATCGTCATCGAAGGTTAAGCGTGCGGACCCTACGGGTTCAAGAACTATGTAGACATGACCGAGACACATCTCTAGTCAATAACCAATAGCGTAACCTGGATGGTCATATTGGTTCCTACATATTCTATGAAGATCTTTATTGGTCAAACTGCATAACAGCATACGTCATTCCCTTTGTCATCGGTATGTTACTTGTCCAAGATCCGATCGTCGGTATCATCATACCTAGTTCAATCTCGTTGCCGGCAAGTCTCTTTACTCGTTCCGTAATGCATCATCCCGCAAGTAACTCATTAGTCACATTGCTTGCAAGGCTTATAGTGATGTGCATTACCGAGAGGTCCCAGAGATACCTCTCCGATACACGGAGTGACAAATCCTAATCTTGATCTATGCCAACCCAACAAACACCTTCGAAGACACCTGTAGAGCATCTTTATAATCACCCAGTTACGTTGTGACGTTTGATAGCACACAAGGTGTTCCTTCGGTATTCGGGAGTTGCGTAATCTCATAGTCAGAGGAATATGTATAAGTCATGAAGAAAGCAATAACAATAAAACTAAACGATCATAATGCTAAGCTAAAGGATGGGTCTTGTCCATCACATCATTCTCGTTGCCGGCAAGTAACTCATTAGATCCCGTTCATCAAATGACAACACACGTCTATGGTCAGGAAACTTAACCATCTTTGATTAACGAGCTAGTCAAGTAGAGGCATACTAGGGACACTCTGTTTGCCTATGTATTCACACATGTACTAAGTTTCCGGTTAATACAATTCTAGCATGACTAATAAACATTTATCATGATATAAGAAAATATAAATAACAACTTTATTATTGCCTGTAGGGCATATTTCCTTCAGAGTGATTGAATGAATAACCAACATGTAGAGCAGCAAGAAGCAAATCTTACGATCTCCATGGTTGATAAGCCCGACGGCCACACTGTCCTCGCTCGTGCAACCACATCACAAAACTTAATGACAGAGTTGCAGATGGTGTACCACGATGCGATATCGACTTCACATTGCGTTCATGGATGACGTGCATTGCCTAGAAAGTCCGCAGATACGGTCAACCAAGTATTGCACATCAACTCATCCTCGATCACCGAGTACTCCACCATCGTGCTTACTCTAGAAAACAACAATAAATTCAACAAAAAAGCTCAATAGCATTTGACTAGACACTTGCCGGGCATGGTGTCCGCCATGAACGTCGTCAGCAGGGGGCGGAGGTACCTAGCTACAGAGGGAACCTAGGGTGGACGGTAGCGTAGTCCAAGGAGGGCAGGCGCGTCGGCGGGGAATGTGGTCATCCTACAATGCCCGGGCGGCTACTGGAGAGGAACATCAGTGGTGTCAGACAAGGAGGGTGCAGATGCAATGTATTTCTTCCAGATTCTTATATGGCGGTGGTCCGGTGTCCCGCAGCCCCCCTCCCCTGCGCCCAGCTTGCCTCTAGTTTACATGAAAATGGTCGGCCGGAACGATAGGGTACCGTGTTGGGGCAAAATGGGTCCGAATCGCTCGGTCCAGACAGATGCGAGCAGTTTGAGGGTCAACATTGGAGACACCCTTATGCACCTTTTCTAGGACTGTCCTTTTGCTGACAGATGCTAGAATCACATTATGCCACAAAAGAATATAGGTATATCTTGCTATGATGAAATTTTCTTATCTTTCATCTATGTTGTGCTTCCTAGAGAATTTGCTCCGGATATCATTTTAATGGGCTGTTCTAGCATTTTGTCCATTAAGATTGATAAAATCTCCAGACAAGCTGCTCCCCATTTTCAAGGTTGGATTCATTATCTGAAAAGGGCTTTTTGATTGCTGAGATTAGAGCAAAACCATCCAAAACTCGGAAGATCATGTTCTGGATTGAGAGCCACTTGTAATTATTAGCTCCAATGTTTCCCAAAATTGGCATTGCTTGATTTTCCTTTTGGCTGTAGCTTTTGCGTGTAAATATATTAATTACTAAATATTATCGTATAACTACTGCTCTACTATCCCGGGGTTAGAAATAAAATAGAATGGGCTTGTTTTTCTTTCATTGCACCTGTGACACGAATTGCTGGTGTTCTGCCATTTTGGGTATGAAATAGGACCCGAGAAATTGTGACATAAGGGCATCTCTAACACTGACCCCTAAACCGGACACCACATCTGTGCGCAGACCTAGAGAAAGTCTACATACACTGATGTGTAAACCGACCATTCAACTGTAGCCGCAAATGTCCGCAATAGTCTTCCATAAAACATGCTAAACATTGGTCAATTAAAGAAGAAAAAAGCCAAAATAACACCTTCGGCCAAAGAAGCAACATGCATTACATGCACCTTCAGCCAATGCAAATACAAAGCAATGCATTGCATTGCATGCAGCTTGCACCAAACACTTCCGCCAAAGCAATGCATTTTCGAAAAAAAAGAGATTAATGTCAATGTGTTTGGTGGAAGGTGTTTCAACATTTCGCGGAAGCAATGCATTTAGTAATAATTAGAGATTTTCGCTAAGTAAATCATGTTTGGCTAGCTAGGTATGTGCCCTCCGCCAAATCAAACTAGCTAGCTTGAAGCCTTCTTCCAAACATCGTGCTAATCACTTACTAATCACATTCTCCGCCAAATAGCATCGGCCTTTCGCCATCTTTCATAGACGAGGGCACGTAGTGACTTTTCATTGCCAGACGGATGTTCGTGTTGAAGTGTATACGTGGATTTCCTAACCTTTTCTATCAGTTCGGACTTTTAATTGTGTTAGCGCATGAAGCTTAACATAATATCAGAGTCTAAGATCTTGAGTTCAAGTCCTGACTTGACTAGTGCATGAAGCTTAACAATCCGGACTCTCGTAAAGCTTCCCATTGTTTAGTTTCGATTTACGAGAAAAGGACGTCCAGACCGCTCTGCAGACCGATGTGATATCATATTAGATGACAAACTATGACCGAACAACACGGTCCGAACAAATGCGGGCGATTTGAGAGTCTGCTTTGAAGATACCTAAATCCGGCATATTACTTTGGATACGGTCGTCACCTTTGGCGCTGCAGGCTCCAAGGCACGGTCTTTCTCGCGATCCTCTCCCTCGTCGAAATTGAACACGGTTGCCCCGTGAGGGTGCGCGTAACGCATTACCACATGGACATGGGAGTGACAAAAACAGATGCCCACCTGACCTCACTACTGATGTCAACTAAGAAAGCACCCTCCCCAACCACCGTGCCTCCAAGTTCCAATTTGTCGCAAGATCGAGCTACTTTGCCGTGTTAAAAAAAAACGACCACAAGCTATTTTGCCATGGCCGCCACTTCATTAGTTTGTCACCTGTAAATTCTTACACCAACACTGTATGTACAGCACCACGGAAGAACTCACCGCAGAGTGCATATTCTGCAGTATACAGGTTATCTTACTGGCCTGTGATGGTCTGATACCTAAGTAACTAGCATGCACATCCGAGCTACAACTACAAGACGACGTCGAATTGCACCATGGGGGTCGCCGTCTTGCTGCCGATGAACCGCTCCGACTGCGCCCTGCGCAGCGCGCTCGGGCCGGGGACGACCGGGGACGACCCCGCCTCCGGGCTGCCGCCGCTCTCCTCCGGGATGGACGTCAGCGCCCCGGACCACGGCGACCCCGTGCCGCTGTAGCCGCCGTGGCCGTACCCCTCGTACGCCCGGGAGCGGTCGTGTCTCGCCCCGCGCGCCGACGCCAGCCGTAGCACCTTGGAGAACAGCCTCCGGAGCAGGGCGGGAAGCCGCCTCGCGCGCTTCCTGCGGCCGGCTGGCTGGACGGCCGGGTCGGCGGCGGGGAGGTGCGGCATGGAGAGCGAGCGGCAGGCGAGCACGGCGGCGTCGAGCTGGCGCTTGAAGGCGGTGAGCTCGTAGGAGTCGTAGAGCGTGCTGCCGCAGTCCCAGAGCACGAGCGCGGCACCAGCACCACCACCACTGTCATCTGCGGGCTCGTGATCGGCTTGGACGTGCCTCGCCATCTTTATAGCTTTCCCTTTTTTGCTTGGATCAAAGCAGCAAGAAATGGATGAGAGGGAGGGGGAGAGGGGAGAGGGGCTGCTGGCTCGCTTTACAAGTGGGTGGAGGTGGCATGAACGCGCGGTGTGCAGCGTGTGATAAAGGCGACGAGGGAGCTCACGGCTCACACGACACGATCGACCTCCGTCTCCACTTGCGGCCGATCGACGTGAGAGAAAAAGGTGCAGAGATGGTGATCCAAAGGTGGATGTGGGAGTGGGACGCACTCTTTGGGGGGGATAGATTAGGTGTAAACGCATACGCTTATCTGTCGCAGTAAGCACTTAATTTACTTGAGTGGCCTGACCATTTAACTTTGCATCATAATTTCCATGGTCTTCCTGACATCGAGGCGTACGTGGATATATCATATATGGACGCTTGTTTTGTTTATTGTTAGAAGGAAATCATGTCCACGTCTGTACTGAGCGAAGCCCAACTACTGCCTTCAGAACATTTTTTTCCTTCAAACTTGCATGTCTTTCAGAGAGCAACAGCGGATAAACATATTCAATACAAATAAACTTTTATCGACGCATTCAAAGATCATTGCAGGAGGGCAAGCGGAATCAGACAAAGTTGGATCGGCGAACTTATCATCCATTCAACGGATGAATTATTCCACTCTAGGGAGTCAGGGTAACGATGTCGACGTGCCCCCAGGTCACAAGAGCGATTCCGGCGCTAGTCCTGGATAAATCGAATAGCTTGCTTGGTAATGGACGAAACCTGCATAAACAAAAGAACGTGGATTTTGAAACTCAGGCTTTCGGACGTGCCCCCCAATGTTGTTTTGAGATCCGTGGTACACAACTAACTCACTACATGAAATTTTCTTTTTTTTATTTCTTCAAAAAAAAAAACATACAAACTTCGAACTTTGCAGGACAATAAAACATTCTTACTACAATGTGGGTAAAAACTTTCAGATTTTTTCGTTTGACATAAATATACAAAATGAGATTTTTTTAGTAAAAAATATTACTTTTACTATATATGATTCACTAAAAAAACCTGAAAGATTTTTCCCACATTCTAGTTAGAATGTTTTGCTGTACTGCAAAGTTTCAAGTTCATATGTTGTTTTATTTGAAAGAAACAAAAAAGACAAAAGTTCTTGCACGAATCTTGATGAAGAAATGGATAGCTAGATAAGGGGGTGTTTCAAAGCCTATGCTTTCTCAAATGTCAACCATAAACAAAAATACACACCAAGAAAAGGAACACATCGTCGTTTCTGTTTTTCCGCCAGTCCTCCTCACCTCACGTGACCTCTCCAGTGCCAAGAGGCAGGGGAAGGCCTGATCAATGCTTGGAGACTAGGATTAAGGGTTTTTCGCTGTTATGTTTATATGTGCACTTTACCTATATGTAAGTTGCCTTTTTTTAAATTTGGGTAAGTCTTCTTAACCATTCATTCTTTTGTTAAGATTTATGTTGTCTTTTTTTTCTCTTGCGTTGTTTCATGCTTCTTAGGCTGAATTTTTAACCTGCCCCTATTTAGGGCCAGCCAATTTTGTCAAGGCCTTCTTAGAAAACTTCAACATTTTGATTTTGTTTTAGTTTCTTATTTCATTTCTTTCTTATTTTAAGGGTAATACCAAGGCATTTGTTCTTAAAGGAGAGAACATGTGCCTTTTTATGTTGTTATTTCGTTCGGGTTGTAGGCTACTTCAACCTAATTCATGTTTTGGGCCTTCTAACCATTTATGAGCAAATGCATGAATTGGGCTGCGTAAGCTAAATCGGCTGAATGCAAATTTTGGTCAGTCAATTGCTATTGCATATGATTGTTTGGTGTTCGTTTGATCAGATTTCAACGATCGATGAAAAATCGACTAACCCAAACTCTAAATTCAGGCAACTGTTCCACAATCGGTCCCTTATATGTGCATGCCACCATTGTCTCAGTGGGTAGGCATAAATTAATAGTCATCCGGCTTTAACTATCCCCACCATAGAATAACCTTTGTTGTTGACATCGGAGAGATACCGGTCTTTGGACCCTATTGATAACCCACAAGTATAGGGGATCACAATAGTTTTTGAGGGTAGAGTATTCAACCCAAATTTATTGATTCGACACAAGGGAAGCCAAAGAATATTCTCAAGTATTAGCACCTGAGTTGTCAATTCAACCACACCTGGAAAACTTAATATCTGTAGTAAAGTATTTAGTAGCAAAGTAGTATGGAAGTAACGGTAATGGTGGCAAAAGTAACGGTAGCAGTTTTGTAGTAATTGTAACAGTGGCAACAGTAAAGTAACTAAGCAGAGATCAATATGTGAAAAGCTCGTAGGCATTGGATCAGTGACGGATAATTATGTCGGATGCGATTCCTCATGCAATGGTTATAACATAGGGTGACACAGAACTAGCTCCAGTTCATCAATATAATGTAGGCATGTATTCCGAATATAGTCATACGTGCTTATGGAAAAGAACTTGCATGACATATTTTGTCCTACCCTCCCGTGGCAGCGGGGTCCTATTGGAAACTAAGGGATATTAAAGCCTCCTTTTAATAGAGTATCGGACCAAAGCATTAACACTTAGTGAATACATGAACTCCTCAAACTACGGTCATCACCGGTAAGTATCCCGATTATTGCCACTTCGGGGTTAATGGATCATAACACATAATAGGTGACTATAGACTTGCAAGATAGGATCAAGAACTCACATATATTCATGAAAACATAATAGGTTCAGATCTGAAATCATGACACTCGGGCCCTAGCGACAAGCATTAAGCATAGCAAAGTCATAGCAACACCAATCTCAGAACATAATGGATACTAGGGATCAAACCCTAACAAAACTAACTCGATTACATGATAAATCTCATCCAACCCATCACCGTCCAGCAAGCCTATGATGAAATTACTCACGCACGGCGGCGAGTGATACATCTCCAACGTATCTATAGTTTTTGATTGTTCCATGCTATTATATTATCTGTTTTAGATGTTAATGGGCTTATTTTTACACTTTTATATTATTTTTGGGACTAACCTATTATTCGGAGGCCCAGCCCAAATTGCTGTTTTTTCTGCCTATTTCAGTGTTTCGTCGAAAAGGAATATCAAATGGAGTCCAAACGGAATGAAGCCTTCGGGTGCGTTATTTTTGGAACAAACATGATCCAGAGGACGTAGAGTGGACGTCAAGAAACAATCGAGGGGCCACGAGGCAGGGGGCGCGCCCTCCACCCTCGTGGGCCCCTCGTTGCTCCACGGACCTACTTCTTCCTCCTATATATATCCATATACCCCGAGAACATCCAGGAGCACCATGAAACCCTATTTCCACCACCGCAACCTTCTGTACCCAAGAGATCCCATCTTGGGTCCTTTTCCGGAGCTCCCGCCGGAGGGGGCATTGATCACGGAGGGCCTCTACATCAACTCCATGGCCCCTCCGATGATGTGTGAGTAGTTTACCTCAAACCTTCGGGTCCATAGCTAGTAGCTAGATGGCTTCTTCTCTCTCTTTGGATCTCAATACAAAGTTCTCCTTGATTCTCTTGGAGATCTGTTTGATGTAACTTTTTTGCGGTGTGTTTGTCGAGATCCGATGAATTGTGGGTTTATGATCAAGTCTATCTATGAACAATATTTGAATCTTCTTTGAATTCTTTTATGTATGATTGGTTTATCTTTGCAAGTCTCTTCAAATTATCAGTTTGGTTTGGCCTACTAGATTGATATTTCTTGCAATGGGATAAGTGCTTAGCTTTGGGTTCAATCTTGCGGTGCTCGATCCCAGTGACAGAAAGGGAAACGACATGTATTGTATTGTTGCCATCAAGCATAAAAAGATGGGGTTTACATCATATTGCATGAGTTTATCCCTCTACATCATGTCATCTTGCTTAAAGCGTTACTCTGTTCTTATGAACTTAATACTCTAGATGCATGCTGGATAGCGGTCGATGTGTGGAGTAATAGTAGTATATGAGGCAGGAGTCGGTCTACTTGTCACGGACGTGATGCCTATATACATGATCATGCCTAGATATTCTCATAATTATTCGCTTTTCTATCAATTGCTCGACAGTAGTTTGTTCACCCATCGTAATACTTATGCTATCTTGAGAGAAGCCACTAGTGAAACCTATGGCCCCCGGGTCTATTCCCCATCATACAAGTTTCCAATCTATTTTATTTTGCAATCTTTACTTTCAATCGATATCATAAAAATACCAAAAATATTTATCTTATTATTATTATCTCTATCAGATCTCACTCTTGCAAGTGGCCATGAAGGGATTGACAACCCCTTTATCGCATTGATTGCAAGGTTCTTATTTGTTTGTGTAGGTACGAGGTGACTCGCGCGTGGTATCCTGTTGGATTGATACCTTGGTTCTCAAAAACTGAGAGAAATACTTACGCTGCTTTACCGCATCACCCTTTCCTCTTCAAGGGAAAACCAATGCAGTGCTCAAGAGGTAGCAAGAAGGATTTCTGGCGCCGTTGCCGGGGAGATCTACGCCAAGTCAAGGAATACCAAGTACCCATCACCACTCTTATCCTTCGCATTACATTATTTGCCATTTGCCTTTCATTTTCCTCTCCCCCACTTCACCCTTGCTATTTTATTCGCCCTCTTTTTCTGTTCCCCTTCTCTTTTTCAGTTTGCCTCTTTGCTTGTTTCTTGTTTGCTTATGTGTTGGATTGCTTTCTTATCACGTTGGCTCAAGATAATACTAAATTGTGTGACTTTGCCAATACCAACAATAACGATTTTATTAGCACTCCGATTGCTCCTCTTACCGATGCTAAATCTTGTGAAATTAATACTGCTTTGCTGAATCTTGTCATGAAAGATCCATTTTCTGGCCTTCCTAGTGAAGATGCCGCTACCCATCTAAAGAACTTTGTTGATTTGTGTGATATGCAAAAGAAGAAAGATATGGATAATGATATTGTTAAACTTAAACTATTTCCATTTTCGCTT